GTGTTGTTTCCTGTGGAGGTTGAAGGAAAGTTGCGTCCATTCGTCACGCTGATCCCTATGCGAACGATGATGTCAGTTTCCCTGATGCTGTTGATCTCTCGGGAGGCATTCGAAAGCTCGGTGCCGCGGGCGGTGGTAATTGTAGCACATATTCAGAGTAAGTCCCTCTCTCGCCTGGCTTGGTTGTCGTATTTGTTGAACCCCTGCGGTCTTGAGGTCCGGTACGTCGCCATTCCTGTCCGATCGCTTGGCTTTGCTCTGATCGACTTGCTCTTGGCACGTAAACTTCTCCTTTTCACCGTACTCAACGCTAGGTCAGTTTTTGTTGTGGAGTTTGGAACCGCAAGATTAGCGTAGCATGGCTGGTGTGTTTCCTCCCGCTCCTCTTGATCTCCCCCTCAGATTTTCCCGTTGCTCGCTGGAGGCAGGCTTTGCTCTTCGCGTTCCAGTCGTCCCGACGGCGCAGGCTTCTTCTCAGGTTCCTCCTCCCGCGTTTGGAAAAACTGCCACGATCTCTCCGACCACTTGTTGCTGCGGATTCGGGAACCTTCTTGTGTAGCAGCTCAGGACCTCCCCTTCCCGGTGGCTGGCTCCCACTGCTTCTTCTTCATCTGCCGTTTTCATTTCATTGTCAAATGTCTTGCATTTCCTGCACCCTTGATCTTGATCTTGTTGTGATCTGGGCTAAACCAGTGACATATGCTTGCGCATGTACGAGTTGGATCCTTGTGATCAGATTGCTGCTCCTCTCGAACCTCTAGATGTTATCTTGTCTTTGTTTCTTCGTAGTGCAGTGTCTCCTCTAATCTCCTTTACCGTCGATCTTGTTTCTTTCTGGGCGGCTTCTCGATAGGTACAACTCTGCTGACTGCATGTTGCATTTTGTGACTGCAGTTCCTCTTGAATAACTGGATCCAGTTTTGTCCCTTTGACCGCAAACTTCTTGAGATGTCGTGATGGTTTTTCATCTTCTTCAGTCTTCTTTCTCCCCTTCCTGGCTCAGTGAGGTGTAGCATTGTTGATTGTAAGTTCCGTGCAACATAACTGAAACGCATCTGAACAGCTGGGTATGATTCTTCATCCTTGATTATTAATTCCTGGAACGCAACGTCAATGCTTTTCTTAATTTTTTACCCGTCTTTGATTTCGCTTTCCTTGGTTTGGATTTTGTGCAACATTGCTGAGTCCATGTTGCTGTTGCATGCAATAGAACTGCAACGCCACCGTACGACTGGATCCGTCTTTCCTTCGTGCCCGTAGATTTCTTGGACACAACGCCAATACTTCTTCTTAACTTCTCCGGTCTTTGATCTCGTCCTCTGGATTTTGATTTTGTGCAACATTGCTGATTCCGTGTTGCATGCAACTGCCTTGCAATGCCCTGCACAGCTGGTCCTGCTTCCGTCCTCTCGACCACTAATTTCTGTAACTGTTAATGCTTCTCCTTAAACTTTCCAGTTTTGACCTTGTTCTTTTGGGTTTGGGTATATGTAGCTTTGCTGATTGCATGCAACAGGACTGCAACCTTCTAGATAGCTGGATTCAATTGCGTCTTCTTAAGCTCAACCTTCTTGGATTTTATGAAGTACCTTTGTATTTCTTCTGTCTTCGGTCCTGTTTTCTGGCTTCGGGTATGTGCCACATTGCTGACTTGTGTTGCATGCAACGGAACTTGCAACGCCTCGAAACAGCTGAAGTATTTTCGGACCGCTTGACTATCACCTCCTTGAATAGTGTTCTTGAATGTAGCAAGGTATCCTCCTTGATTTCTAGCGTTTGGTTTCGTTTTTTTTTTCTTGGTTCCTGTATGTGCAACATGGCTGATTCTCATGTTGTGTGCAACCGGACTGCAACTTCTCTGTACTGTTGGGTTATATCCTGTGTTCATAGCCAAGAACCCAGTTGATACGTGGTTCTTCTCCGTAGCTCCTCCAGTCTTCGATCCTGTTTTTCTCGGGCTCGGATATGTGCAACTCGGCTGATTGTATGTTGCATGCAACTGAGCTGCAACTCCTTTGGGCTGTTGATGACATCCTGTTTCCATAGCCAGTGGATACAACATGTCTCTTCTCCGTAGCTCCTCCAGTCGTCGATCGTATTTTTCTTCTTGGGCTCTGGTATGCGCAACTCTGCTGATTGCATGTTGCATGCAACTGGACTGCGAATCCTCTTCCTCCTCTGGACTGTTTGATGCTGTCCTGTCCTGTCAGTGAGTACAACCTGTTTCTTCTCTATTGCTCGTTCAGTCTTCGGTCTTGATTTTTTTTTCTTGGGTTCGGGTATATGCAACTCTGCTGATTGCATGTTGCATGCAACTGGGCTGCAACTCCTCTGGGCTGTTGATGGCATCCTGTTTTCATAGCCAGTGGATACAACGTGTCTCTTCTCCGCAGCTCCTCCAGTCGTCGATCTTATTTTCTTCTTGGGCTCTGGTATGCGCAACTCAGCTGATTGCAAGTTGCATGCAACTGGACTGCAACTCCTCTGGACTGTAACTCCTCAGGACTGCTGGATTATATCCCGTCTTCATAGTTAGTGGGTACAACGTGTTTGCCCTCCATAGCTCCTCCAGTCTTCGAACTTGAATTTTTTTCTTTGGGTTCGGGTATGTGCAACTCTGCTGATTTCATGTTGCATGCAACAAAGCCATTGCCCCACGTTGGGCGCCAGTTGTGTGATTGGCCCCCTGGGGGTCCGGAAGCGGTGGGGAGTATGTTTTGAAAAAAAAATTATTGTTTAATAAAATTTCGTTCATCGGGGTTGTTTTCTTTCCGAGATGGTTGCCGACCTGCGCCGTCCTCTGGAACAACTTCAGGTGAGTGTTTTAGGCTGGTAGATCCACAAATTGTTGATTAACTAGTTGACTCTCTTGGTGTTTGATTTTTCTCTTGTTCAAACGTAATAACACACCCATTTCCAAGTGATGATCGGTCCGTTGGTTTCAAGCTGATCGATTCTCTTCCGCCACCGTTCCTTGCGCCTGGGGCTCGTCACAAACAATATTTATAATGAGGCTGGCTTGTCGCTTGTCAACATATAGTCTTCACTGCCTAGGATGGTATCTGTCTCATAAGGAATTTAGGACACGGAAGTCTCTCCAAAGCATATAATTTTGATGGCTCCCTTGAGGACATAACCTGAAGCCACCATCTGATACCTGATAGCTACCCACCATTCTCTCCCTTTCTTATGCCTATCATCCCAAAGACAATCGATTACATCCCCATTTAATGTCGCCCTCAATGCTGAGATTAGATCTCCCGCTGGTCCTTACACTATATGACGCATACCTCAATCTCTCTCAGACTCACTCTCTTTGTCATACCTCTCTCATCCCACTACAATAAGTTTGATCCCACGTTGACCTCTCAGTCCCTCCCAGCAATTGTTCTAACCCCCTCCAGCGGTACATATCCGGGACAATAAACGCAATTTGCCCAATAGACTCCGTGATAAGTTTGAATTCCATCTAATCTTACTCTTAAATCCCAACGACTTATCGCGCCCCATTCCAACATTGGAATCGTGTGTGCTCTTCCTAGCACCTCTTTGGCCCCCTGGCCCAATATTCTCGAACACCTACATCACTTGACCCTGATTACTTGTCTAAAGGTGCAACGCAGGTAGCGATTACATTATTAGCTTTCGTCGATGGGTGTGATTGGTTCAATCAATCTCTGCTGGCCCACTCTCTTCGAACACCTACATCATTTGACCCCGATTACTTGTCTAAAGATATGACGCGGGTAGCGTCAGTTATTAGCGTTCCTCGGTGACTATGATTGGTTCGTCAACCTCTGCCGCTCACGGCACGTCTCTGTCTCCCTACAAAAAAAAATCCGCGGCCGGACGTTGGTTACTGACCCTTGCAGCCCTTCTGTGAGAGACCGTCTTACGCGCTTTCACCTAACGAACCGGTGGACACAATCCTGCTGGCCCGGCGACCGCAGTCTCACTGGGCTCATAGACAGGTACCTACTCAGTACTCTCATGCAGTCATGGCACCCGCAAGTGGCGCCTTCGGATCATTGACCGGTGTGATTCGAAAGACTCCATGACTGAATCTATCCTACACTTTTATCCGACGCCGTGGAATTCTGTCCTGCAGATGTGTGTTCAAGCGCGTTAGCGTCATGAGTGATGCATGCTGCGATCCTTCCGACGGTGGACACTTACCTCATCCCGGCGGTATTACTCCTCGCCTTTCTTCTATCATCTTCGTATTTGTCACCCACCTTCGGCGGTGTGCTCCCTCGTCCTGTATCTCTCTCTGACTCACCTCTCAGCTTGGGCGTCTTATGGCGTTCTTTGTTCTGATATCTGCCTAACATATTTACTTACTTCCTCCGTAACGTGAGACAGTTCCAATCCTAGAAGACTTAGACGTATCAGCAGAGTCAAAAACACATGAAAGTGTTACAACATACCTCCTCTTCGGCTAGCATCCATCCTTAGATCCTTTCCTCCTTGTGTAATTCCGGTTTCAATATCTATCGACCACTTCAGAGTCACTCCTTCTGTATCTCCTTACCTGTCTGATCCGTAGAATCCCTTCAGTCCATGTGCGCACCGCTGCGCGGTACGAGTCAGTTGTTACCCGCGACAGAACACAAAAAAAAATCATTGGAGAGAGAAAACTGCGCAGCCAAATACTTAGACCACCTACTACTACTTTAATCTACACGATATTTACGTCTATCAGCCGAAATGTCTCCAATGTTAGACCATCTACTACTCCTTTAATCTACACGATATTTACGCCTATCAGCCGAAACGTCTCCAATGTTAGACCATCTACTACTCCTTTAATCTACACGATATTTACGCCTATCAGCCGAAACGTCTACAACGTAGCGTGCTCGATTCACATGGTGACGTCATATTCCCGGAAAGTCTCCTGTTCCCACTTGTTGGTCATTAATGACGTCATAAAATCGTGTCGCTTGCGGGTTAGTACATCCTGACTTCCCATCGTTCAACCTTGGGGACGCTAACTTTGATCGGAATTTCAACTCGACTATTCTGAGTGTTACCTGTGATTTAATGAAGTAATTCTCGGTAGTGCCCAATCATTTGTGATCATGAATATTTTTTTTTTGTGGATTGTTGTCTGGCGTCCCTCGCCACGTTGTCGCAAATTTCTCTGGGGTCGTGAGTACCTATTTGCATCAAGGGAACTCTAAGGTAGTGCGCCGGATTAGTCTCAATTTGGCATTTCTATTTAAAAACAATCCAACTCATGTGATTTCATGTTATCTTATTGGACCGATTTATGAGAGTCAATTTGATAATGCGGATTTTTATTGACATACTCGACCAGATGATTTATTTAACTTGCAATTGACAATCGACTGGTGGTGTTCTAATTTAAGGAAGCTCGGTTTACCGATTGCTATGTTGTTGAAGGTATACAAGTTTTGGCAAATGTGATATCCAATTATTCGAGTGGGAACATCAGCAATGGGAAATGTTTATATCAAATCAGGGGGGCTGTGTCCAGTCGTGAGGACATGTTGAACTTTAAGACAAAATTATGCTATACAACTGGAATTGCGCGGTTGGGCGGTAGGTCAGATTCAGCACAACAAACTATGCTTAGTGCGAGCTCTGATTTCACAAATCTGCCCATTCAACCATTCAGACTAAATTTATAAGAAATTTTAAGAAGCTAATGGGAACTGGCCATTGGAGAATGGTGCTAATTTTGAACTAAATTAATGGGTCAACAAAGACTCAGACTGGTGTAATCATCGTTGTATCTCTTCCGTCACCCGACAAAGATTGTTATAGTCACTGATGCCTTATAAATTTCCATTCCAAGGTACCCCTTCTTAAGTGAAACCACACTCAGGTCCGAAACTGTGGTGCTAGCATCCGAGGCCAGATATGAGATCAGTTGTGACTTGTGACTGAGAGGTCAATGGTCATTAGCATTGAAATTCCATGTTCAATAGATCATGTCAACAGAAACGGATGAAACAACCTTGGATGCGACTGGGAATAGTCTGACTTGAATTGTTGCATGTTACTGATTTATCATCTGAATTCATTAATTTCAGCATGTCCCTCCAAAACTTGGTAAGTACAGTTGTCACTAGCTTTTCACACCACGCTCAATTTCTAAGTTTTAGTGATGCGCGCTCAATCATAACACAATTAATTCTCCATTCCTGCCTTTGGCCTATAATAGTCTGCTAATTTGAGTTGGTAGCATGCCTCGCGGTGTACAGTTTGCTTTCGACTGACAAAGGTAACCAGTTTCTCCCAGAATTAGACTGTAGAGTTGTTCACCAAGATTTACTAAATTTTGATCATATGTGACTGCTGTCTATTTCTCCCCTTTTTGACCACCCGCAAATTTGTCCGTCTTCCTACTGAGGTCAGCGTGGGTCAATCGTTGAAAGAAGGGTTCGTCCAGCTGTCTTAACAGATAATTTCTTTCTCTCAGCAGGTCCATACTGGTGCATTGTTCGCGGTTCCGCTGAGCTGAGGGCTTGCTGGGCCAGCGCTCTCCAATCCGATGGGGACCGGATGGCGGATAGCATTCGTGAGATTCAACTGTCCTTGCCGTTTGCCTTAGCTGGGTTAAATTAGCATGACGGTCACTTTTGCCTGCTGGTTAAATGAGTTATCACGCCTTACTTGAAAGGTTTCGACAAATTGAACGTATTCCAATGCAATGATCACTAAATGTTATTTAGATCATTTGAGAATGTGCCCTGTGATCAAAAGCTATCTTATGAAGTTTAGATGTTGAAACGAAGTTGAAACTCAGACCTTTGGCTTGTTGTTGGTCTGAGTCCTTTAAACAAAAGATATTTCATTGAATCTACATATACAAGATTTGTAAATTAAGCCAACGTGGAGGGTTAGGTGATAAGCATCCTTACAATGCTTGTAATTATGAGCTTAGCGGTGACATGACCTTGTTTCCCACCTGACCAACGACCATTCTGGCTCATCGACGCTTTTGGCGCCGCCTAGTGGATGTAGTTGTAGGTTATACTGGCTGGGTGGCGGTCGAGTGCCACGCATCTAATTCGTACCAAAGGCTTTCATTTATGGGGTCGATCTTTGTAAAGACTGAATTAAAACGTTTTGCTTCGACTCCTCTCCCTCCCTCTCTCTCTCTCTCTCTCTCTCTCTCGCTCGCTCGCTCGCTCTCACTCACTCACTCACTCACTCACTCACTCACTCACTCACTCACTCACTCACTCACTCACTCACGCCCCCATTCACTCATCCACTCCCGCACGCGCCCACTCATTCACTCATTCTCCCCCTGTCCCCGTCTGTCCGTCTCTCCTACGCATGTTCCACGCGTGAGATGGTCGTGTAACGTCCACTCGCGGCAGAATGAATAAGCAGAGCTTGGCGTGCCTCGGTCGTAGGTGGCGCCACTGTTTCCTTTCGGCCTTCTGGGGGCGGTCGGGCTGTACCGAAAGAGTTGGGTCTTGTAGGTGGCGCTAGGGGCGCTGCCGTCGGTGCAGCTATTAACCTGTTAATTGTTTAAGGTCAAGGGGCATACGTTTTCCATTTCGTTCTGACTACAATCGCTCAGTTTTAGTAAAACCTACGGGGCCCAACATACTCCCAAAATTACTCACATTAACTACCTCAAAGAACGGGTGGGCGTGATCACGTTCCCGAATCCCGGTGTTAACTAACATGATTGGGCTGGAAGTGTAGGCAATGCTGCCCGGCGGCATAATGCGTGGTGTGACCGTGCACGTTAAATGGTTCCTGTCAATTAATTGGGGTCTGCAGACCGTTCAGTAATCCGATCTGAACAAAACGGTCCCTGTCATACCTGAATTACCTCGACGGGGGAGCTAGCATCAATATCAGTTAGGTACTGATAATGCTAGGAGGGAAAGGGGAATTGATTGACAGGTTACGAACAGCGAAAAATTTATAACGATTGAAATGACGATTCAGATGTGTCGGTTATATATAAACACGAGTCACGAAACGGCTCAATGCTGATTTAATAACGAACCGGAAGGCAATTCAGGCTCCCCGAGTTCTTATTCTGGCGCTGAGCTGCCGAAGGAGCAGAATAATGTTTAACGTTTACAATGTTTTACTCTCCTTATCCAAATGTAACTGAACACGTCACGATTTCTTGGGCCGCTTTCGTATCAAACCTTATCCAAATGATGAATCTATCCCAGGAATGTGACGATCCTACGCTGACCGTCGATTTATCTCGAATAGCACTTGTAAGGATTGAGAATCGATTGACAAACTTGGAATTAACACTAGATTGATAATGGATTGATACGCTGGCCTACCGGGTTCAAACTGGTTAGATTATGAAACAACTTATGCTGACCTACTAGCTTCGAAAAAAAAAATGTATCTGTGAGGGTCGCGTCGTGAGGGATGATCATTGCATTTCCGTTGATTGATGATCAGACGGCCGTGGCGTAGTCTCATTCAACTCCGGTGAGCCTGTGGTGCTAGGCCGGCGTGAGGCCGTGTGATCGACGATGACGACTCAATGATAATTACGTTAGCGGTCTCTGTGAATCCGAATCAGCAACATATCTGAAGTAACCCTCCCTTCTTTCCCCAGACAGATTATTGAATTTTCACGCTATATTTACAAACGGACGATACAATGCTGGTCATTTTCAACCGGTGTACCACGATCGGTTGTCAGCTCGCCAATGCCAACTTAGCCTTAAATCTAATCCTAACGCCCTAACTGCGGAGAACTTAATTACAAACCATCGCGAATTGAACCGTCATGACGTCATCTGACGTAGTTTGACGCGTCAATAGTGACCAGCGCCCCCAAAATGACACCATCTGACCTGTTCCCCTCCCCTCGAATCCCACACCTCACTGCGGCCGGACCGCGCGCGTGATGGCCGACAGATAGCGCTCCCCCCCCAACACCAATGTAATGGTGAGCCATTAGCCTACACTGACCATTACTGACCCGCCCCGGCTGCCTCGCTAACCCTCTCCCTACCCCATTGGTAAGGCCGGACTAGTCGGACCCATTCACACCCCTCCCCGTCTTTACAAACAGACGCACCACTGCCGCGTTGCTCGGTCGGAAGCGGAATGTAGCGACCATCTGCCCTCCCTTACAAACAGGTCGTACCGCGGCCTGCCCGGCCGGGACGCAATATGGAGCGCGCGAGACCATCCTACCGCCCTCCCCTACACGGTGTTAACCCATTACCCTCCTAATGGTGGCTCAAGTTAGACCTCAGGGAGTGGCATTTGTAATCCAGATCAGAGACATCCGATGGGTAAATGGGAGGTGAATAGTCCATGACGGGGAGGCAGTCTTGATGAGGCGGACAGATGAGATGACTCACTTGACAGTTGATGATGGTTGACACGTCGAATCTCCGTCGCGGCAGCAGAGTCCCTCCGCTCCGGCAGGGGTGGGGTCGGCCAGCCTCAGACTGAGACGTGCCGGCCGACCCGCCGTCCAGATGAGCTTTCCCCTCCGTGGTCTGTCACCCGTGGTCTGATACCCTAGTCTGTCCCCCTCTCTTCTTCTGCGGTCCGATTTTATTCCTTTCGTTATCCGGTTCCGGCGGGGGTCGATTTCTGTGACCGGGACAGTTAATCGGTCCTTTCCTGGCATGACCTCCGGCGGCAGCCCTGACCGGGGCTGAAAATTGGCGACATCCCGTCTCGCATCCGGAGTCGAGACCGTCGCCCTCCTCCCTCCATTCCGCCGGAACGTGACGTCATCCTCACTTGCTCGGCTCATCCGTCTCAGCTGCCTCCTGCCGGATGACGTTTTCACACTCGATTTTCGCCGGATGTCGGTGGCTGGTCCAGCACCGGGGCAGGTGGTTCCGACTGCGCTGCGTTTGTCGGCGGCAGCTGCGCCGGCCCGGATGGGTGTGTTTGTACTCCACCCTTCGGCGTGCCTTTGATCTTCGCTTAATGGTGACCGGCCGACGGGTCGGGGGATCGTTTGGTCAACCCCCTCCCCACGCCGGCTCAGCGCCGCGGCAGACAGTGCGATCGTCCTTACGTATAGAGTGTGAGAGATGTCCTTTTCGACGTACGGAGAAAAAAAAATGTCACAGCTTCCAGCTGTTACACTCGCTTTCAGGCTGTTCTTTACAGTTTGAACTGCCCTTTCCGCTGCGCCGTTACTGGACGGATGGTACGGAGCAACTTTGATGTGACGTACACCGTTCATCATCATAAACTCTGACATCTCACGAGAAGTAAACTGTGGTCCATTATCTGACACAACTTGCTTTGGCAGGCCCAACCGCGCGAACAAAGACCTCAGTTCATCGATGGTACGCTCGGCGGACACAGTTTTCATAGGGATGACCTCCAACCACTTCGAGTAGCTGTCATGGGCCACAAGAAACATGCTGCCCTGAAACGGCCCAGCAAAGTCGATGTGAACCCGTTCCCACGGGCCCTGGGTGGGTTCCCACAGGTGCAAACTTGCCTTTGGAGGCGCCGCGCGTTTCTCAACGCAGGACCCGCAGACTCTGGCGAGGCTCTCCAGCTCGGTGTCGAGTCCGGGCCACCAGACATACCTTCTGGCCAGCTGCTTCATCTTCCCGGATCCCAGATGTCCAGCATGCAGCTCCTGCAACACTCTGTTGCGCATTTTTGTGGGCACAACCACCCTTCCGCCCCACAGTAAACAGTCCCCATCCGTAGAGAGCTCGGTAGAGCGCTGTTTAAATGCTCTAAACTCGGGCTCCACTACAGAGGGCCAGCCCGAACGAACATACGTCAGAACTCTCCCCAGAGTGGGGTCTCGTCGGGTGAGCGTCTCCACCTCCTGGGCCGACAGAGCTGGTCCTTTCTCCTCCCAGTGCCGTACCAGGTACACCTCTTCCTCTTCCACAGAGTCTCCGTCGGCTCCAACCTGCGGCAGTCGCGACAGAACATCAGCCAGCCCCATGTTCTCAGACTTCCTCAGCTCGACCTCGTACGAGAACGCTGCGAGCTGAAGGGCGTATCTCTGCATACGCGCAGCTGACAGTGCCGGGAGCTCTCTCTGTGGGTTCAAGATGTGAGACAGAGCACGGTTGTCGGTCACGAGGTGGAAGTGCTTACCATACAGGTACTGGCTGAATCTTCTGACACCGAAGGATACTGCGACCGCCTCCTTCTCTACCATGGCGTACTTCTGCTCCGTCGCTGTCAGCGTCCGCGAAGCGAAGCACACCGGTCTCTCCGTCCCGTCTGGAAGCACATGGACGAGAGCTGCTCCAACGCCAACGCTGCTCGCATCAGTGACGAGCTTGAGAGGGAGGGTCAGGTCAAATCTCATCAGCACACTTCCACTTGTCAGCACCCTCTTTACCTGGTCCAAAGACGACTGGCACGCTGCCGTCCAGCGCCATACCGCCCCCTTCTTGAGCAGCGCGTAGAGCGGCGCCAGCATCGAAGCCAAGCTGGGGACCAGGCGCTGGTAGTAGTTTACTGAACCCAGCAGCGCCCTCAGCTCGGTGACGTTCCTCGGCTCGCGCATGCCGACCACCTGCTGCCACCTTCTCTGGAACAGGCTTCAACCCGTCTGCAGAAATGATCCACCCCAAGTACTTGACCTCTCTTATGTTGAACTCGCACTTCTCCCTCTTGAGTCTAGGCCCGTGCTCTTTCAGCCTACCCAGAACCCTGTCAAGGCGCCTCAGGAGGTCTGCTTCGTTCTCACCCGTCACCAACAGGTCATCGAGATACGCCACACAACCATCAATGCCCTCCAGGATCTGGTCAATAGCTGACTGGAAGATCCCACAACACTCACTGATACCGAAGGGCAGCCGGTTCATGCGCAACCTCCCGATGTGAGTGGTCACCGTTGTGATGTCCTTGGAGTCGTCTTCCAGCTCCTGCTGCAAGTAGGCGTCTCGCAGGTCCAGCCTCGCGAACATCTTGCCCTGGACACCTGCGAAGACCTCCTCCGGCGTCGGAGTGGGATGCCTCTGCGGCAGGGTTGTATACGACTCAGTCAATAGCAATCAATTCAATCACGACAAATTTGGAAAACCAATCAAATCAATCAAGTCAGAGCAGTTTTCGGGAATTGATTCAATCGACTCAAACGCGACAATGAAAGGAATCAATCAACTCAATCAAACGACTCAAACCAAGACATACATTAGGTTTTTTGCCCCACCAACTTGGAAAGGTGTCCAAAGCAGTCTGGTGTACCTACCTACCTACCTACCTACAAAAGAAACATAAAAATATTGTCATTTAAAATTATAAATTGCCATGCCATTCAAAGTTTCTATGTAATAAGGAAGGATACCTAGTGATGGACTGGTGGATCATTATATTGAGGTTCAATGGGTAGAATTGGAGCAGAAGTATCATTTAATGGGTGCAAAATAGCCCAGTAGTTGACTCGCCCCTTAACCCAAATCATCACCTTTCACCTAAAAGCTGTCAATTTAATTTTAGCCATATTCCAGCTAAGTGATCAGGCCATCTACCCCATGTAAAGCCCCTGTCTGTCTCTTATGTGAGTTATGTGGAGCTCTTCTGAAATGAATCCTGAACATTATGAACCTAGCTAGGTTTCATGCCACACTGACACCATATGAAAGTGTTGAAAATGTGCTACAAATTTGACAACTTCATTAGGTATGCTTTATGAAGACAGCAAGGCAGGAAAGCAGGTAGGTACCTACTTACCTGCCTAGACCAAGATGTGTCACTGGCTACCAACAGTACCAACGAAGGTAGATAGGTACCTGTGAGGTAGGTCAATCATTCCTTCCTTTCCTTATTAATATAGCCTGTGATAAATCTGGTATATTTATGAAATAAAGTTGATAAATTGCAAGATCATGGTGAGGGAAAATTCAAACGCGAAAACGGCACGGTGTGACTGCGAAACACAAAGAAAACGTTTTGCCAATAAGTATGCTAAGCTTTTATAAATCCTTATTCTACGTCTTTTGATTTTTTGGTAAGATGACGTCATTGATTATCATGTAGTATGGTAGATCATCATAAAATAAATCGGTTGTGCAACACCAATTTCGTTTTAATTATTATTTCATTTGAAATAAAACCACTTAATAATATTCGGTAAATTATTTAAGGAAAATGAAATATATTAAATATGTTACGCTTAGGATCTCAGGAGAAAAGGATCAACAAACGTTCTGCTGCAAATTAAACAATGCAGCAAATTAGCTATTAATTATGTACGTAAACGTAATTAGCGAGACGAAAACGGCGCTTTTGTTTCAGTTATTTTTGTAGGGGGGTTTCAGATATTTATAGAGTTCAGTGGGCTGTTTCTGGGGAGATGTGGAGATGTGAATTATTAATTGATCACACTTTATTAGTATATAGGTCCAGGACATTGCACTTTATCATCTGGATTAAAAAAAAAAAAACGTTTCCTGCTGAGTGCAGAAAGGTAGGTAGGTGCATCGCCAGGTTCTATCACCAGGATTGGAGCAGTTATTGCAGTTGAAAGTCAAAGTTGGCTGTTCATGTTTAGGCCCTGTTCTTTATTTGGCCATCTACCCCATATTGCAGTTGTGATGACAAGCAGTTTTCAGTGTAGTTTTGTGATCTTTGATGTCATCAATTGGTGTCATTATTTTTCGTCAACTAAAACTTATTTGAACTTTCCATTCAATCGACTCAATCATACGAGTCACTCTAATTTTCGGGAATCAAATCAGTCATCCAGTCGCTAAAGTCAAACGAGTCAGTCAACCAGTCATCTCGAAAAGTCAATCGACTCAATCCAATCAACTCAAAATACGCGTTGAAACAAATCAATCAATTCAATCGACTTGATTGGTATACAACCCTGCTCTGCGGCACGATCTGGGGGTTGACGGTCAACCTGTAGTCAGCACAGAGACGTACGCCATCTGCCTTCGGAATGGGGACGAGCGGAGTCCCCCATCCCGAGTTATGACTACTGTCAACCCTCTCCGCAATCCCCTCTGAGATCCAGCGGTTGAGCTCCCTCTCCACAGCAGACCTGAGAGCAAAGGGGACTGACCTGGCTGGGTAATAGACCGGTTGGGCCCCAGGTTTCAGCTGCAGACGCGCTCTCACGGACAGCTTCCCCAGCTCCTCCTTGAACACATCAGCGTGCCGCTGCAGCACCTGGTCTAGCGACAGATCAATCGTCTTTACCTGTGCAGGTGACTTCAGGCCCATCTGAAGTGGACCGATCCATTCTCTCCCCATCAGAGGCTTGTGAGGAGGCAGCTTGCTGACGACCAGCCGAAGCATCTTCTGCTGTCCACGCAGCTCCACGCTCACGTCAGCCTCTCCTGCCAACGGGATCTGCTGGCCGGTGAACGACGTCAGCACCAGCTGGCTCGGTCTCAACTTCAGCCCTGGGACGAGAGTCTGATCACTGACAATAGTGACAGGCGAACCAGTGTCAACAACAAACTCAATATTGGCGCCATTCACGAGGAGTTCAGCTGTCGGGGCTCCAGCTACACTCCCTCCTCCCATCTGGACGTTCCACAGGCCATCAGGCTCAACAGACAACATACACTGGGTCTGGTCAGCAACCTGTCTCACCTGACCCCCGTGTCCACCGCGTCCTCCGCCTCCAGACGGCTTCCTTCCAGGGCAGTCGCGCTTCAGGTGCCCCGGCTTTCCGCACTGGAAACATGTCATTTTTGCACCAGACGGACACAACACCTTTCTGTGACCGACCTGACCACATTTGAAACATTTCCCACGAAATTCCTTCACGGGCCCTCCGGTATGACTACCATCACCCGATCTCTGTCTCCAGTCAGCTGACTTACTTGCATCCTGGCGGATAGCTTGAACCTGAGTCGCTCCTGCTCCACCCTGAACCAGCGACCCCAGCTGCCGTACGTCCTGATAGACCCTGGCTGCGCTCCTGATGTCCATCAAAGTCAGGTCGTCTCCCTTCTCCGCTGCCTTCAGCAGAAGCTTCTCCCGTAGCTGGCCAAAGCTCCCAGCTACGCACCGGTCACGAAGCTCCCGTTCCTGCTCTGCAACGGAAAAAACCACATCGGCGTCCCTGAACACGCAGCCTGCCCAGAAACTGGTCAAATTCTTCCCCCGGCTGCATGCACATGCTGTGAAATGTCATGCGCTCAGCGATCTCATTACGACTGGGTGACAGGTACGCTGCCAACTTCCTTTTGCAACATTCAAATGCATCGGGCACGGCAACAGCTGGGTCAGGCAGGGTGTCATAAACATCGGCGATATCGGGCCCCAACAGGTGCAGTAACACGGCACATTTCCTCTCACTCTCTGTGATATTCAAGGCAACCAAGTACCGCTCTACACCCTTTGACCATCTCTCAAAATCTTCACCGGTTCTGTACGGCTCCACTGCAGGCAGCTGCAACGCCATCTTGAACGCGCAGTACCACCGGCCGCACAACCACCCACTCTGCCCAGCCGACCTCTCCCTACCTGCCAGACGGGTCTGCGCGACCCTCCTCCCGGTCGCCTGTGCCCCGCGGCTGGTCGTTCACCGGTCGCCGACCGCACTGCTGAGCCGTTCACTGGCGCCCCGGCCGGCCCGCCACTCAGCCAGTCGCTGACAGCGCCGCCGAGCCGTTCACCGGCGCCCCGGCCGGTCCGTCACGCAGCCGTCGCTCGCCGCCAGGTCGCTCCGTCCACCGGTGCCGCAGCCGTCGTCGCTGATGACGGCTCCCTCTGCTCCCCGCAGATCCGAAGACTCGTCGCCAAGTGTAGCGTCGTCTCTCAGCTCGTCCCGTCCAGCTAGAGATGACCTTCAGAGTAGAGATGTATTGGGCGACCAAACGGCAGGACGGCACAGGCAGGAATGAATAGCGCGCCAAATGGCACCACACGTGACATAACCACTGTATAGAGGGCAGCACACACTACCCAACAATAACTTTGTGAATAATCTTTCGATGATAATAAACAGGTGTTTGTCTTGGGATGCCGTAAAAGTGAGAAGCTTTGCTGAATTTAGCCTCTGTCAACAGCCGTCAGCGCATCTCGCATGTTGTCTTCAGAACATAATTGGTGCTTTCCCTCCTTGCCCGCGGCCGTGGCTAAGCATGAAATCGCAGCGGGCAGCGTAAAAGTAAATATCTGGCAATGGAAAGCATGTATACATATACCATTTAGGAAAGAGTATTATAAGAACCTGGGTGGCTTTTCAGGAAATCCTTGCCTTACTTTTTCATTACGAAGTTAGGGTTCACAAAGTTGAGAGCCTGGACAATATTTTTCATTTGGCAGCATTACAAAGGTTCAGGGAAAGCGGGACTAAAAAGGTCGCCCACTGACATACCTACAGGGTCTTTCATAATGAATGTTATTTTGAAAACACGAAGTTGAAGGTGTTCGTAAATAAGTAAACCATAAATTTTGTATTTACCTTATTGCAAATTTCTTGGAATTTCTGTTGATGTAATTAAAACTGCCACACTTCACCAAACTTCCCTTTTGTGCGGACATGAAATGCCTCCCCCTATAACACGGGTCAGCTCTTTTTTTCACGTAGGCGTTTTGGGTGGTCGTGGGAAACGGCTCACTGAAGCGCACGGCTGTCCACCGTAAGATTCGGGGACACTTTTAAAAGAAGCACAATGTCCGCTCTAAAATGATCACAGGCTTGTGAACAGATTCCAGAATGTCACGACTCACGGTTGATTGCAAGGAACAAGACGCACGAAAGTTCATGTTTTGGGCTGCCGTGGTCGACGGGCGTGTCTTCGTCCACTGGTTCGCTTCTGGCTCATCAGTGACCGGGCCAGCTTATCTGAGGCTGCTCAGTGCTCAAGGAAGAATTCTGGCCTCATGTGCCTGGCGGGGTTCAAAGACAAGGCCGCTGGTTTCAGCAGGACGGCGCTGAAGTGACAACGGCGGCTGGGCGCCAGTGGTTGGATGGCAACTTTGACAGACGAGTGATCAGCCGTCTCACTGAGCGGCCATGGCCAGCTTGGAGCCCTGATCTCTCGCCAATGTACAGCCCTCTGCAAACTGCGTGGTAGGTATTCTTTTTTCGACAAAACCGAGAATAAGGCGAATACTATGCAATCGGTCATTCGGAAATCGTAACAGCAAGACGCGCGAGACTCCGCACCTTAGATTGGCATAATCATCGTACTCATTTTCCATCCATTTTGGCAACAAAACCCAAAAGTTCATATTTGCCCCCAAAATGAATTTTTGCATTTTGTAGCCACACAAGGCGCATACTTTGTTTAGTGATATACCTAATTGAAGGAGTGGAGCATGCCGCATCTATCTGCAGTGATTTCCGACCGATTAATAGCATAGCCTTTGAGTTATCATCGGTATTAACGAAAAAAGAATACCTACCACGCAGTCTGCTGAGGGCTGTACTTCTGATTTTGGACAGTCGTCTTGGAGGCCCCAAGCAGAGACCCTTCCAGTGACCCTCATAGAGCTACAGGTCAGAGTGGAGAGGTTTGCTGCAATGCTGTGCGCGGAGGATGTGAAGCGCGTGGTGCACCATTTGCGTCCGCGGGCCGAAATCTGTGTCCGAAAGCGAGGCGACACAGTTAAAAATCGATGAAGGGTACCTAAATGCGAGTCATGTGTACATAATTTACCACATGCCGAGATATCCCTTTAACATTAGCACGTGCATTTGGGAAATGGCTTCGGCCCGCCTCGGCTAATGTTGAAGGTATTTGGGAAACGATTCGGCCCTAGGGCTTTTTGATTTTCCCAGACAAAGTTTTACTGAATATTCTGAGCGGAAGAACCAATTCCAAAGAAGATATTTACGGATTGTGTGTTCACTAACAGCAACAGCAAAAGTAAGTGACTGCGTGTTTACTTACTTTTGCAATATATTTATATACACTGTGACTTTTGCTGTCAACGTACTTCAACTATAAACAAGGGTATCGTTCCAATGCCAATTTATTTATTGCTGCAGAACATGGTCAGAATAGTCATTATTACTATATAGTGCACGCAAAAAAAAACCGAACAATTCAAATGCGAGAGGCATCTTAACGTGCCACAATGAAACATTTGATATTGTTCCAGCTGGGATCCAAGACGCGTTTGATTCAGCGTTTCACCCAATTTTCAGTTTTCCTCACGGTTTCCTCACTCATGCACTGGACTCTATATACTTCTTTGTTCTAACTTATTGATCCAGCTAGCATTCAAGACGCGTTTGATTCAGCGTTTCACCCAATTTTCAGTTTTCCTCACGGTTTCCTCACTTCTGCTGGACTCCATATACTTCTTTGTTCTAACTTCTGGCGCTTCACCATCTTCATCCTCATGGCTTTTTCAAACCCAAAATAAGGGGAAATAATGGAATTTCATCTTTCATTCTTAACGCAGCCCCACAATAAAAATGCAAATATAATATAAACTGTTACGCCGGTACGGCATGTGGTAAATCTCACGGTATATAGAGAACTAGGTAAAACCGGTTTGAAATTACAACACTAAGGTGACCACTATTTTCAGCTGACCCTTTTAGTCTAAAAAAGAGAACTAAGCAACAAATTCCAATGAGTTTTATTATTTGTATATATATTTTTGATTTATGATCAGAAAGCACGCCATGTATGAAGCTGCGAAGCATTAACGAAAATAAATTGTTGGCTATCTCCGCCATTTCAAAAATTATATATCTTAAGTTGCAAGGATTGTTCATTGACAAGATTGGTTTTTCACAATCAAAATTTAAAATTAAAGGACAAAAAGTAATATCAAAGGCCAACTCACTTTTGTTGAATTTCGAAATTACCATGGTTCTGAGCTGAGATGTTCAGCCTACCCGACCTGCCAATGCTCTACCATGAATTGTCGAGTACTTTCAGTGAGTTGGGGCTTAAATTATGGTCAGTAAATATCAAAATTAAATTGGTAAATCTCTTCCCAACCTTGGGCTGTGAAAATGCAGTTTTATTCACCTCGGTTTTTTGCTACGGACCTCGTGCCTACCGGCACTCGTCCTCCGCACAAAAACCTCGGTGAATAAAACGCATTTTCCCAGCCCCGGTCGGGAATACCTATATATTCCCATGATTTGTTGTTTCATTCGGGTATTGACAATAGCTTTGTGATGTATATCACCTGAGCTATGGCTATTTCAAAAATAACATTCATTATGAAAGACCCTGTTCATGACATAGATATAGCAATCCAAACACCCTTTGTTAATTCTCAATTCGGTAAGCTGAGAAAGGTACGCTAGTTTAAATAAATCAAGAAAAAGAAGAATTGACCTCGAAAAATACATCTTAGGTTATACCATATAAACCGAAGGAGGGAAAACCACTTACCAAAAAGTCACTCCGCCTACTGTCCAAGCCCCACAGGATGAGATGGTTGACAGTGCTGCAAGTTTTCAGATTTCTGGGAAATTGCGAATCACGAAGTTGAGGATTTCACGAAGTTACCTCTCCGTACCCTAAGTCCAATGCCTATATTGACATTGGAAAATGTATTTTCTCTTATGAGCATTAGAATATATAAAAAAACGTTTACAGAAAACACTACGAGCCCAAATTAAAATTTCGCCTTACACTGGACTAACTAAGACTAACGTCTATTGTCTATACAAACATGGAGACGCGCCCCCGGGCTCTAAAAGGGAGTTCCTCCCGGCTCCCATTGTATTTACTATCCCAATGAAATACAAAAAGTTATGCCCCTGGTAGAGTGCCTAGACACTAGAGTAGGTATACCTACTGGGGCATTCCACGATAGATCGACAAAAAAATTGACACCCACATATTTTATTTTTCGTTTAAAACTGGTCTAAGGGGTTGTGATGGGCGGGGAAGCCATCTGTGGCAACTGGCAAGGATTAATTCTTCGAACAACGGTTTCCGAGATATAGCCTCGGGTAATTCCTGGAGGTCACGCTGCAACCCTATTTTTGGCGGCTTATAACTCAGAAACTATTGGTTTTCTATGGTTAAAACTTTATATGGCTCAACTTTCATTTTTATGACCTGCCCATTATTACGAGCGGGAGCGACAGTGAGATCTCGAGAACAA